CGTGACGTATGAGGCAGTGGATATAACAGCGTTGCCAAACGTTTTTCCATCAAACGACTTCATCACGTAATCATCTCATCAAATGTACTACTTTTGTTTTGTGAATACCCAAATAATTTGATCAGCCGATTAAATTTAATCGGCCGATTACAGGATTATGTGAATAAAAATATATTACATGCGATAGCATATCTGTAGCTGAGAGGTAAACAGTCATAACTCCAACTTTTGCCGGTATGGAGTTAAGATCATCTTTAAACTCACTTGTTTTTGTTATTGTGGCAACAAATCCTAAGTCATGTATTGTTGATTGTCAATATTTTTTAGGTTAGAAAATGTAATATCTCCATTTATCCCAAATTTTAAAATCCATTAGCGTTTCCACTTGTTTTGCTTATTACCGAAAATTTTCTTTTAAGGACATACGATTGTTTACCCCTCAGTTACAGATATACAACAACAATACAATGACAGAAACTTTCACTTTTTCCTCTTGTATTCTGTAACCATCTCTTTTTAACCGTGCAGGAAACGCATGCTCTTATTGTACAAGAAAGAACACGTTGGGTCTGATATACCCAGAAAAGAAACACTAAATTGTAAAAATAAACGTATATTTCTGACAAAGGGTTACAAATACTTTTAATATGAACAAAAAGTAACTACGTAAACAAAAAAACTGTTTTCCTATTTTATAATCTAAATTAGAGTATAAATAAACAATATGTGCATTTACGATAGTGCTGCAATAAACTCACTGTATAACAGTTATTCGGGGGAATTTGGCCGCGCATACTTGACAAACAGACATAGTATGTTCTAAACATATACATTTTTGCAAAACCGACATGTATGCCACTTTTTCCGATCTTTGCAGAAGGTACATCTTCCACGTTTATTTTCAACTATTTCAGTATGCTCTATCAACACAGTTCCGCTAATTCTAGCGGCAAGTTGTCGAATTTCTCTCGATAAGTATTGGGAGTTTACTCTACTTTTCATGTAATCCATTACAAGTTCAGTCCCGAGTTGTTTTAGAAATATTCTATCAATTTTCGCACCCTCGCCATTTGAGTTACTTCTGTGTATGACCAAAGCATTTATACCAGCAACATTTAGGAGCCCATATAAAACAATCATAGGCCAGCTACGCGTATTTCTAGCAACATTATATTTTGCGGAAAGTTGATCAACTGTATCAATTCCACATTTTGTCGAGTTATAGAAGGTAATTATCTCTGGTTTAGTCTCCTCTCCAGAGCCCTTATCAATGCAATCATCATGATGCAGTGTTGATAATAAAATAACCTGCTTGTTTTTTTGGGGATATATGAAAAAATGGTCATATCTTGTGTAAAACCGAACATGCTTGACTTTACTGGTCTTCTTAAGAAAAATTCATATAAAACAATATAAAATTGGATATTTTATATTGTTTTAAATATCAACTAAGGAAGTTCCCATAAAAACATGTCGATACCTGCCGGTGGATACAAAGATAAGAGACAGAGATTCCCAGCATTCAGGTGATGATGACTCATCATTTCTTGGAAAATGGAAGGAATTTTACAACCGAGTGCAAGTTAGCAACACTGTGCATGCGCAAAATATGCAGTCGAACTCTTATCTCTAAAACGGAAGGCAGATACAGGACATAAATTAGTTATAAAATATATTATGCATATATTACAGACATATGTATTTTTTTTAATCGTAACCAGAGTAAAAGTGTATGTAACCGTATAAATCCAACCATATGGATTTAAGATTGGATGTTGAACACCAAACGTCATGAGCAAAAGAAGGAATAGGTATAAATTATCCACATGAAGTGGTAAATGTTGTGCCTGTGTTACATGCACAGGTATATGTATCTTATTTAGTAAGTAGCATATTTATTCCTTCATTGCAGCCGGTTAAGCGGCAGATAATCATATTATTATTTTAAATGTAAACAAATCTCGACCATGAACTTGTAAAATATTTTTTTGTAGTGTTATCTTTAAAGATGGCATATATATTATTGTAAAAATCTCAACACTCAACATCTACATAGGTAACACACTAATATATAGGAAAGCAGTAATATAAACATTGATTGTGAATTTATCTTGTAAACGTAAGATAAACATTCAATTGACACTGAAGACCATACATTTTAAATGCCTAACGTACCGCTTAAACAGGTAGAGACATGTTTACCAATACAGAGAAAAACGTCTGGCCTAAATAATTACGCTTCCCAGTGCATTCACTTCATCATAAACAGGAAGGAAGTATAATCAGTACTAGGGGAAATTATATGCGTTATATTGCACGCCTAATACGCCATGATTCTCATTTAATAAAAATACACACATCAATCTTTAATTTCATATGAGTCATCCCATTGCTACATATAGAATATCTACATATAAACTTCATTGTTAATTATTAGGTACTTACATAATGAAAGACCTCTCTTTAAAGGTGGTACAGTACATTTTATTCAGACTTTAGACTTAAGAAAATCTATACCCTAGTTAGGTAAAATGAAGCCACATAAGAGTACAGAAAATATACAACACATGGGTAAATACACCTTATGAACTTAAGATTATTGAGGAGCGCTAAGATCTATGTGCTGAATTAAGAAGAAGTATTTCTAAATTTTCATGGAAACACTTAAAAAATACACTATTTTTCTTAAAACTTTCTTAAAACAGTATTACGGGTTTCTAGACCTAAGTGAAAAAAAATAGTGCTACTTAATGATGAGAGGTTGAGAAATAAAAAGAGGTAAGTATGGATTTTATATATTTTATTAAAAAACTAAGAAAAATTATAATAAATAGGTAAAAAATTTATATATATTTATTTATATCCTTAAATAAAATAATTAAAAGATGGTGTGTGATCCTAGGGACAGGAGGATAGGGGACTGCTAGCGTGGTGGTTGATCTGTAACAATAATTATTTTTTTAGTAAAGTAACCTATTTTATTCAATAAACAAGTTTCTTCCTCTTAATACTGATGCCAACTCCAATTTTAGAGTCTTTGAACGGGCTACCGCTATCTTATCAATGATGTCCTCACCCCACACTATAGTAATTGAGAAAAAAACACACATATAAAAATTATCAACAAAGTAGTAATTGGTATAGCTTACTTTTCATTGCCTCACTGATGGGAATCAATTTAGGCAATTCTAATAGTCCCAATTCCAACCACACCTCGTCCGGAACAACACACATATTGCAGGTACATAATTCCCCTGCCAGTAATTCAGCCATTGTCATGATTCTATGCCTCTCGTCTCTATTCTCCATTTTCGAGTATAATGAATAACTAATACTTGAATAAACGGTGCTCTGAATATATCAGCACTTTTTTCTCCCTCTCTCATACACACACAGACACTCACATTCAGAAATAAAAACCAGAGTTCAGCATTTATAAACCTTTATTGATTATTATAAAAATCTTATCGTTATGTGTAGTATACCACTGATACATAGCATACACATTTTGATTCGTGCAACGTAATCTATTAATACAGTGCTTCTGACAATGATATTCTAAACTATATAAGGTAAAATGGGGTAACATTGACATAACTTTCAAATTATTTTTTTTGTCACTTGGAAAATACTTAGAGCGCTGCTTTTGTGGCAAAATGAAGGTACATCTATCCTCTTTATGATGTACATGATATAATTGAAAATAATTATTGCTTACAAAATTATTATTTTTATTTTTTTTAAGTGTAAAGTGTCAATGTTACCCACCCCCAGGAAAACATTGACACCCCCTATAAACGTATATGTATATGTCAATGTTTGTGATAAGTTAATGCAACATTGACACTTGTCTTTGATATATAGCGCAACATTGACATAGATAACTACAAAAAATAAAACAGTAAATAGCAGTTTTATATATAATTTTGAATGATCAGTAACATTACAACTTAGTTAATTTTAGGAATACTTTTATAATTCAAAGGAATAAAGTTTATGTTAAAGTTATGTAGTCCCCCTTCTAATATTAGGTTTGGGAAGAACCATAGCAACATCAGCTCGAGAAATTAGACTATGATCTGATACATCTGGATATACAAAACATTTTTCCTTCTTTCTCAAAAAGCTGACGAGTATTTCGCTACCATTTCCAATACTCTTCCTACATAGTGTATGCAGTCTTCGTTATTTATTACTTGTCCCCTTGAATCGGAAAATCTAACGAGTAGCCATGAATTTTCGTCTATTTTCTGATTACTTACATGAACTGGACACTCTTTTTGAATGCGGATGGCTCGGAGATATAAAATTTTATTATCAATATTAATTAATTTTATTATCAGTATTTTTCAATTTCATAAATTTTTCTCCAACTAAATCTAAAAACTCACGAATCGGTATCTTATTCGATGTTATTGTACAGCGATCTGTGTGCGCCCATAATTCGTAATTCACTTTAAAAATACCTTCGGCTTCTAAAGACTCGAATACAATTTTTCTTAGTTCTCCAAAATTGGGACAATCTAAACATTACTATCGCTAATGGTAATTCGGACAATCTAAACGCTACTATCGGCTAAAACACAATACGGAAGCCTTAGATGCATGAACTTCGTGAGACCAAATTTGACGTTTGGATTTTCTTCTTTGAACAAAGTAAATAATTCATTTAAGTTGCCAAGTAATAATCGTTTTCGAACATGCACCCGTTCACCGTTATCCTGTTTCAGCGAAACATAATCTTTTAATCCTGGCATCACTCGACTTATGTTATCTTGTTCGTATTTTTTTTACACGGTCCTCTGTGTCAGCGGGTAAAACCTTGCCTTTTTTTATCGGGTGATGACAGTATTCCTTTTTCAGCGACTAAATAAATAAATAAATAAATCACACCATAGAAATTGACATTCTCCCTCTAAGAGTTATTAAAACTGTGCAGAAGGAGAATACACATGGAAAAGATATAGGGCACATAACCAAACTTTGTGACAGGTGCCTATTGCCACAGGCGGGGATTCGAACCCGCGCGGATAATAGTTCTCGGAATAATCGCCCCGTTCTCACCTGGCGCTTTACCCACTGAGCTATCGCCGCGGCTTTTACAAGGCTTTTCTGGCTTCTCTTTCAGTGCAATTAAATTCCTTCATGGGATCTCGTCGATACTTTCACGTTTATTATTTGACGATGAAAATTTATCTTTGATTTGTTCTAAGACTGCGACACCTGCCTTATGATACTTATCGTTCTAATTCTTGAATTTGTAGGCCTCAACTTTGCACTTTAAACAAATCACCGATTCGTTTTGAATAAATGCCACACAAAAAAATCGACTTTCGGGCCCAGAGGTCAGACCATGAGCACTATACGTTTTTTTGGGTCGCTGAATCCAAATCCGTGGTCCTTTTAACCCCAGCAGCTCAGGATTTTTCATAACTTCAAAAAAATCGATATTCTGAACGATTAAACCCTATAACCTTGTGACTCAAGTTTCCAACGCTAAATCCAATTAACAAAATCCCATAAGCATTAACCCTTTGAGGCTGGATTAATTTTTTTTTTGAAAAAAAATCAAAATTAAGTGTAATTTTGTTTATTTATATTATAGTAAGCTTTTAAGGCGGTAGTGGCAATTAAAAATAATAAGGATTATCCTGCAGGATATGGTATCCCTAAATTACCACTAGGAAAATAACAATACAAGTATTTCAAAAACAAAAATAGAAAAAAAATATTTCTTGTAGAAAATACTAAAACAAGGCGAATACCATCAGAAAATTAAACTACTTCGTATGGTAAACGGCAAAACAGTTCTTGTCATGTTTTATGCATAGTCCCATTTGCAAGTTGAACACGTTCACATGGTACGGCTAACTTCCTTTGTGGTGCTACAGTTGGCACATCTCAGCAACGTAGACCTTTCTGGCAGGTGGCATGCCTTAGAATAGCGAAGTTCCAATGGAACACACTTCTTGAACTTATTGACAGGTCTCTGGTTTGATAGCCGTCCTCGTTTGGAAGGAACTACTGCCCCAATAAGATCCCTGGCTACAGACAAACGGAATGCTTTCAAATTCATTCCTTTTGACTCGTTTCGTAGTTGAAACGGAATGAAAGCGTTTACTACACATGCATCAACGAAGTAAGATAAGATTCCATGCCACCACTTATGTGATTTGCGGTCCACTTCGTAAAGGATTTTTAGCATATCAAACTTATCGACATAGCCCATATGAGCGTTGTATTCAATAACCATTTGAGGTCATGTTATCTCGTCAAGGTATCCATCCATTTTCTTCTTGGAACACGACCCATTGTTTTTGGATTTTGGTAATTTCCAAGGCATAATACACTTCTTCGATACATCCTGTTACGGGATCAAACTGACCGGCTCAATAACCTCATTTAGCATAGAAGTGAACAGCACAGAATGTTAGTTTCAGGCAGTAGAGCACCAGTGTGCTTATCCTTTTCTTTACCTTCTAGTGGTGTAAACCATCCTATATACCTTTCTCTTTCTAACAGTAGGATTAAAGTTACCTTTTATACGGTTGGTGAACCTGGCCTGTCATGACAGCTATTCTTAAAATTCCCTAAATAACCGGGGAGCTGGTAAAAAGGTCATTTCCTTTCCGGCAACGAGAAAGACTTGATATTTTCGGTGTCTGGGACATCTGAATCACGCTCTGGGGATTATTTTCTCTTGTCAATCTTCTTTTGTCTGAGATCAATAACTCTTATTTGTCTTTGAGGACGCACCTTGGTGGATTTTAGAGTATTGTCTCGGCAAATATACCAGTTTTATAACCACCTATAGGCCACACACCACTACCAAGGTAGGGAAAAGCTTACACACACTTAAATGCACTGCATATAATTGCATGACTAATTGCTGCATGTTTACTTCTAGGCCTTTTTCTTCTGTTTCCTTTTTTTTTGTTATTGCTTCTTGCTGTCACACCCGCTTCTGCCGCTATCGCTTTTCTTCGCCCTGCGGGCGCAGCTCACTGCTTCACACCTGCGGTCACACTAGCCACTAGCCTACATCAGCTATACATCTGACACCTTTCTGGGGGCCCACACACGGCTTCGGAAGCAACCTAACCTCACTTCCACCACATGGTCAGGGACCGGGGCACCTCTAACGGACATCAGCTACTTCTGGACTTCAAGTACCCATCTAGGATCTAGGACCAGGAACCAATTAAGGTCATTGCTAAGATTGTAAGCGTTTAGTTAACATTCGTTACCTGGGCTTGTCGGTCAGACCGATCATTTCTATTTGACACTGCTTAGGTTATTAGAACCTATTTGGTTGGCTCTAACCT